GAGGAGGGGGAGATGGAGGAACTGGAGGAAGAAGCAGGTGTGGTGGGGGGCAGGCGGGGAAGTGGGGGTGGTGGGGACATGAGAGGAAGTGGGGTGCAGGGGACCAAATCTAAGGGTTTTAGGTTGTGGCTTTTGCTGTCCTTGTGCTTCTGGTGCCCCTGGGTCCCCGTTTTTTCTCCATCTCTTCCAGCCTCAGTCCTTTGTGTCAGGTTTGCCCTACTATCGTGGCCCTTGGTGAGCTATCCCGGTTGGCTGGGGCCAGCTCTTTGTTGGGGGGCAGTGGGGAGCTGCCCTCCCTGGTCTGGGCTCACTTTGAGTGCCCCTCCAGGCATCACCAGGGCAGGGAGGGTATAGGGAGTGGAGCCGTGGTTACTCCCTGTTTTCAGTGCAGCCTCCTGTCCCTGCCCCCCTCAGGCCCCCCACCCCGATTCACCTGCATCCCTGAAAGGTGTGACCTCCCTTCCCTCTGCAGCTCCTCACCTCTGCGTGCCCCCTGGGGGTGGACTCTGGGGACCCCAGTCTGGGTCCAGGGTCCTTCTGTGTCCGGAGTTCCTGTGCTCGCCCTGGGTTTGATCAGCGCCCCTAGTGTAGGCTCCACACTGCCAACCACACCTCCAGTCCTGCTGAACCTCAAGCTCCCTGCCCTTTGGGAGCTCTCCACGCCCTGTAGTTGATCCTGCCCCCAGGTGGTGCTACAGGATAAGGGGGGTGAGGCCCAGCTGCAGTGGGGAAACTGAGGCTGGGGACGGGGTGCCAGTGCTTCTGGGCACGCAAGGAACCGACATTTCCCACCCCGCTCTGGGGGACAGGTCCTCCAGGACCAGGGACCAGCCGCTACCCTTCCTACGACAGCAGTGGGGGGGGGGGACTCTGCCCCAGGGAACAGCCCACTTGCCCAACAAATGCCCGGCCGGCTGGCCCTGTGGCCGCAGGCTCAGCCCAGGTCTAGGGTGGAAAAAAAGGAATCAGAAATTGAGTCTGAGTGAGTTTAATTAAAGATGGCTCTGTCCCAACCAGGTTGCATTCCAGAAACTCTGGGGGGCAAAAGACTGATGGGAAGAGAGAGCCTCACAAGGCGTCAGCCACCCCTAGGCCCCCAGTCCCTGGACCACGTGAGATGGTGACCCCTGAGGGGGAGGCAGTGGTGCCCTCACCACAGGGTCTTCTGTGCCAGACACCACACGCCCCTGCTCCCTCCGGCCTCGATGCAGCCTCCCCTTCACCTCTGCTTCACCTCTGCACCAGAAACCAGACTCGCCAGACACGGCAGGGGGGAGGATCACCCCTCACCCTCCCATCCGAGCCCCCATGCAGCCTCCTTACCATCCAGGAGGTGGAACTGGTCCGCTGACTCGCAGAAACCTGGGGGGGGGCCCAGGGCAGGGTCAGGGGGTGGGCATGGCCCTGCCCCAGAAGCCTGGCCCATCCAGGGGAAGGAGGTGGGGTCAGAACTGGGCACCAGGACATGGCGGGGTAGGGTCAGAGCTGGCCACCGGGACATGGCGGGGGGGATCAGAGATGGCCACCAGAACATGGGGGGGGGGGTCAGAGCTGGCCACCGGGACACAGTAGGGGGGACTCAGAGCTGGCCACCGAACTGGCCAGGAAAGGGGCCGGCTCACCGTATTTGGGGAAGTAAATGATGTTGTCGTCTGTCATGTTGGCGCCATGGACACGCTGCTCAAACGCACTCACAGCCGCGTCAGTCACGGGGACAGAGCGAACTGAGAGGGCGGCAGGGACGCTGGGGGCCAGGTCTGTGTGTGCCTGGATGACCCCTCACTGCTCCTGCCTCAGCCTCTCAGCAGCCCTCAGGGGGTCAGGTTGTGGGGTTGAGGCCCAGGGTCTGTGCTGGGGTGCCGGCGTCAAGGTACGGGGTCAGGATGTTGGGGTTAGGTTGCTTTCAGGGTGCTGGGATTGGGGTCAGGGTGTTGGAGTGTCATGAGGGTGCCTGGATGGGGGTGCCTGTGCCAGGGCAAGAGGAGCAGACTGGCACACACATCTGTACGTGCTGCACCCCTCAGCCATCCTGGGTGGGGGCAAAGCTTGGGGTCCCTGCACAGAAAGCACCCTGCATGGTCTCAGGAGGACTAGCAAGATACGTACCATACAGCTTCACTGAGAGCCGCCGTGCCCGCTCTAGGTACAGGATGGCGAAGTCCCGATAGTCTGTCTCCCCGATGACAGCATCCACAGCACCCCGTGCACCTCGGGCTGCGATAAGACCCTGGTCAGTACTGCGCTTCCTTTACCCATCCCACCTCGCTGGACGCCCTGCCCTCACCTTGGAGCAGGAAGCGCCCGGGGACCCCTGTGTCTCCGTAGAGCTGCCTCACTTCCCAACAGATGCCATCCCTGGGGGCGGGGAGAGAAAACACAGCAAGCGTGGAGGACCCCTGACCTGGGCAGGGCCAAGTGGCAACACCAAGACAGGGTGCCGCTGACTGCTGGTCCAGGCCACAGGCTGGGAGGACGTCAAGAACCCAGGGTGGGGTTGAGAGTCTGGGCTGAGAGTTCTGGAGGTTGGAGCAGGGTGTTGGAGGTCGAGGCGGGGGTCGGGAGCTGGGAGTGGGGCCTGGCACCTGGACCTCGGACTCACAACTTGCGGAAAGTACTGACAGCCATGGCTGTGCCCTGGGGAGCCACATGCAGTGCTGTGGCCTCTGCATGGTGGCTCTGCTCCTGCAGAAAACGGCAGGCGGAGGCCACAGCCACCAGGAGCCATGTTCCTGCAAACTGACACGGAGGTCCTGTGAGGGAGGACATAAAGACAAGATGCAGCCCTGGGCCTAGGCCCTGCTCCCCTCACCACTACCTGCTGGGCATCGAAGCTGGCCTTGGCCTGGATGGTGCTGATGGGGGATGGCGGCCGAGGGGGCCTCCGTGCCCTCTGGCCCGGGGAGCCGGGTATCAGGAGCAGGACCAACAGGACTGCGGGCCTGGGGGGCAGCATGGTGGCAGTGGTGGAGCCCGGGCTGAGGTTGGCCAAAGGCTGGGAAGGCCACGTCCAGGGTCAGAGTCCACCATCCAGCGCCTCTCAGGAGCCC